TGTGGCTGAGAAGTCCAGTCCCTTCTGTGGGAGAGCAGAGGCGTCACTACTGAGGTGAGCACCTGGGAGAGGGGCCAGCTGAGGACCCCCTTCAGCAGTGAATAGGAAACGCTGCGGACACATCTCAGAGGCTCCAGGAGACCAGAACCACGTGTCTGTCATCCCCTTAGCCTGTCCTGTTGGGCTCAAGACAGCTGCTGTGGCTCCAGCCATGTCCTCTTGGGCTGGCAGCCTCTCCAGTGGCATACTGGCACCTAGCTGCACATACGGTCTCTGCCTCAGCCCAAGTGCCCTGCCCGTGGACCCAAGACAGCACTCCATGGGCCGATGGAAATACAGATGGCAAGGCCTCTACCAGGTGCTAGCTCTCAGCGTCTCCTCCCCGCCCCCAGCCCACCTTCTGCCCTCACTCACCCCAGGTTTTCCCTACAGGGCCGGCTCCTGCTGTTCCATGATTCTTCCCCCCATCCCCCCATAGGCAGCCCCTCCTCGTGGTATTAGGCCCCCAGGCTTCCCCGCCTGTGCCACCTCTCCACGGGCAGCACCTTCTCAGCATGACCTCCTCAGGTGTTTCTCCATCTTTCCTGCTTCTGTCTTCATGGAATGTCAGCCCCATTCGGGCAGGACCGGCCCCCCTGGCCCAGAGCAGACACCCCACAAATATGTTAGTGCAATCACAGAACATCAGGACTGTCTCCAGGACCCCAGGCAATGTCCCCGCCTCTGACCCAGCCTCCCTCCTCTCTGTTCAGGAAATTCTTTCAGGAGTCTTAGTCAGAGAGCCCAGGACTGTGCTGGGCCTGCAAAGAACCAACTCTGCCCAGAGACTTTCCACCTTTCAGTACTGAAAGCACCTGCCTAGTTAGCAGTGGGACAGCAATGGTGCCAACTTCCTCCTCTTGGGAGGGGAGGGGCTGGAGCCAACTGGCCAGCTCCAAGGGGACTGGCAGGACCCTCCCATCTGCCCCTAGCCAGAGGCAGCCTCACCTACGGAGGGGGATACAGGGTGGGTGGAGCCATGCTCCACCACCTGCAGGTATTTGCTCATCAGCTCATTATGTCTGTGAAGTTGGTTGCATTTTTCATTATTTTGCCATAGGCTATATGGGTGTACTTTGTGGGCTGATGGGGGCGGGGGGGGGGGCAAAGAATTTACCCAGAGCAGAGAAACCCAAGAAAATAAATGTGTAATTAAGTATTTCTATAACCATCAAAGAGGCTCATTAACGGCACTTTCGATAGTGCAGGAAGAGTTCAAATCCTTACAAAAAACTGGACCCCTAGCGCCATCAACTGAGCACAGACATGGCCACAAGCACCTGGCTGGGATCCCGCCTCTGATTAGATCCTGTTCCAGCGTTAACCAGGACTAAAGTAGCAAATTTAATTGGAAATCAATTCCAGAGCAGTGGGATCCACTTCAGCTTCTGTCCTCCTCTTGCAGTGCCAAGCTGGTCTGCCTGTTCTCCAGCCCCTCCCCACCAGGGTAAGGGTCCAAGCCTCAGAGACTCGGGGGCCCCTCTGCTGCTGCTCCTCTTTTGGCAGGAGACATGGGGGACAGGCAGGGGCTCCCTCTCAGGAAGCCCATGGCCCCTCCCCAAGCCCCGTCTGCACTCAGTGAGGCTCCCACCCCCTGGATGCCAGGGGCACTAGGGACTCACATGTCAGAGGAGCCCTGCGGCAGACCAGCCTCCCTGCAGAAGTGCTGGTCGGGGTGCCATGACAGCCTGGACCCCTGACTGTGGGGAGTCTTGGCTCCATCTCAGTGCCCACCTCCCAGAGAGCTGATGGCAACTCCTCTTGAGGAACTGGGGTACCCTGGGACAGTCACAGGGACCCTGTAGGTAGGAGCCCACCCACCTCACACAGGCCAAGGCTCAGAGCCCATGAGCAGTGAACAAAAAGCCTGGGCCACAGCCCACACCCTCCCCAACCCAGGCCAACAAGTCCACACCAGAGACACCCAGTGTATAGTCCTTGCCCGTCAGATGCTGGACCAGGTGGCCTGCTCAGGCACCGGCCCCTGTGGGTCAGTTCTGCACAGCACCCCCATTTCGTTAGTGAATTGTTGGCATTTAAAGCCAGGCAAGTCTTCAAATGTCTGTGGTGGGGAGCCGAGGAGCAACAGCAGTGTGACTGCAGTGGAGGCGCATGGATAGTGGATGAGGCGCATGGATAGTGCCAGCGATGCCTGCCCCATGTGGCCCGCCCAGACTACCTCCACCCAGGCAGCAGCACCTTGCACCAAGCAGGGCACCCTGCTATCAACACCGTTAGAGCCCAAAACAGCCCTGCCCGAGGCAACTTAGTAAGTTCCAGGGAAAAGGAAATTTAAAGGAATCTGCCAGGAGGTGAATCTGCCAGCAAAGCCAGTTAGGGGCCCCCTTGCTGCTTGGGTATCAGAGAGAGGAGGGACAGAGGGAGGCCACCGAGCTGGGCTCCCCTGCTCCTGCATCCAAGAGCCAGCTTGGTTAGAGCAGGACACATGAGAGTTGATGCTGAGGTCCAGAAGGGATAGCAGCAAATGAGATTTCCTGCTCTTCTATGGCCCAGAGGGGAGGGTATCTGCGGAAGGGATTTTGAGCTACTTCAGAGGCTGAGACCTGGGGGCAGAACCCCTTGGGGTCCTTCACGGGCAGGGCTAGACCCGTGCAGCAGGGAGAGGTGGGGCGGGAAGCTGGGGAGGGTGGAAATTAGCCCCAAAGGCCTCCTAGCTTCCATTTCCAGCCACCAAGAACAATTACCACCACTGCCTGGGAAGACAGCCACACCATTATTGAATTTTAAATGAAGCCCAAATTGACGTGGAAGCTGGGGCAAGTATTTCATAACAGGGTAATTTTTCCTTGGAGGGCAGTTGCTACATCTAATAAACACAAACAACTCAGGAAGCAGTTGCAAGTGCAGGCATGTCCTCCTGCCTGGATCCTGCCCCAAGGCACCAGCCGGGCCCAGCTCTCTGCCCCACAGACCCCTGGACTCCTCACACACATGTGGCCCTGAGGCTTCCTAGCTCGGTGCCTCCCTAGAGGCTCTCCCCAGGGCTGCCCAAGCTTCCTGGTGACCAGGGGGAGGGATTGAGGGACACACAGTCACTTCTGCCATGCGTAATAGTGACCCAGCCCAGCTCTGGGCAAGGTGGGGTTGGGGGCTATGTTGAGGTGCTGGAGACAGGGCTCCCGGGGGCCATTTGGAGGTTGGCCACACACAGGAAATGGCTGGAATGTTAGACACTGCTAAGGTAATTAGCCAAGTAGGAGGGGAGACAGTAGATGAATATGGCACAAATTTAAAAAAGAAATAGCCTTGCTCAGCTGGTTGTTGTTCCAGGATCCAGACATGGCTTTTAACAGAACAGAACATCTATATTAATGGTGGAAAACAATTATTTTCTTATGCTCATCAAACTGTGGGTCAAGATCAGACACGACACAACATGGGGCTTCTGCTAGGAAGTGGCCACGTGTCCGGAGAGTATCATCGAGATGCTCGTGCACACAGGTCCCTGGGAGGCGGCCCCTTACCCCTCACTGACAGCAGCCTTGTCCGAGGAGGGGCTCTGCAGACACAGAGACAGAACTGCCCTGCAACCAGACACCTTATCTCTTAATTGCTGTTTTCCTGACTGGTTTCCATTCTCTTCTGCACTGGACCTGAAGGATGCAGGATGGGCAGCCCTCTCCCCAGCGCCAGACCTGATCCACATGGCTCATGCCAGTCCAGTGGAGATGACTGTTCCCAGGCTGCATGACAGGTCGGGGGCCAACACTGGGCAGGGGCCCCGCAGAGCCACCCTGCCCTGGCCAGATCTGAGCGCATGGTGCTGGGGTTTTGGGGGTGCCCTGGACATCCACGTGGTCAATGCCCAGATTCAGGCGGAGAAAGGAACAGTGACTGTGTCGTCCTGAAGCCAGCCAGCTTGCTGCCGCCTGCCCTGCCATCCACTTCCGAATGGAAGCCTATACAAGCCACCTCTGGAGCAAAGGTAGTGGCAGATGATTAACGGTCGCGATGGGGGACTGTCCTGGATGATCCGTGGGCCCACCAGTGTCACCACAGGGGTCCTCACAGGAGGGAGGGACAGGGCAGTCAGATGTGGAGGACAGAGGCAGTGGCTGGAGTGACACCCCACCCCAACAAATCTACACGTGCCCACTTCCCCTCCCACGTGAATTAAAGCCCCACTGGTTCTCTGGGCTGAGTGGCCGGGGACAAGGCAGACTGTCCAGTCCTACCCCTCCCACTTCAGTTGGGGTCCTCGCTAGGGAGGCCCACCAGCTCCCTCCACACCTCCCTCACCTGGGGGCACAGGCTGACTCTGGGAGGCCTGGGGGTGTGCAGCACGGGTGGGCTGGAGAGGGTGGGCTGGACAGCTCTCCGACCCAGGACCTGTGGACTCCTAGGAAGCTCATTGGCTAGGAGGCATTTTGAAATTGTAGCCCCAGCCTGAGAATGTTTTTCTGATGTCTGGTCTGAGAAGTCAGTGGAAATGTACCTCAACCAGGTTTTTTATGGGTCTCAAATTGACAAATAAAGGCTGTGGGCCAGGGTCCCCCTTCCCCAGGGCTGGACGGCTGTCCAGGAGGGACGTGTGTACGCCAGGGGTAAGTGGATTTTGACATGGGTAGCTGTCCACATAGTGAGCGGGAACTGAGGAGCCACATGGGGAGGGGGCTGCTAAGAGACTGGCAACAGCACAAAGCCACCACCCCACAAGCAGATGGACAAAGGGGCAGAGGGAGGGGACAGGCTGGCCTGAGGGAGCTGCCCACCCAGCAGGGTTGCCTGTGAGGAGCCTGGAGTCAGGGCACTGGGTCAGCTCTGGGGACACATCCATTCACACGGGGACGCTCCCCATAAACACACCTGTGATCTGGGGACACTTCACACCACTGAGCCCTCACATACACCTCCCACCCAGGGCCTGCCATGCAGTCAATGAGTTTGTAGCACTGAAGACATTACCAAGCCTTAGCTTGAGTTAGTTTTTAAACCATTTTTTTAGACTTAAGATACACAATTAGTACCTTTTCAGTGAAAGTATACTGTGCAGTATTTGCAATACCACTCACTAGCTTGAAAAAATTCAGGTGAAACCCACATAAAATTTCACCATTTTACAACACAATTCAGCAGCATTTGGTACACTGTAATGTGTGAACACTGCCTACATCCAGTTCAGATCTTTCTGTCACCCCTGCACACCAAGGCCCCAGGCCACTGGAGGGGCTCCTTGGAGACCAAAGTGGCCGACTGGCCCCTACTCATGGCACTGCTGTGAGATCTCTGCTTCTCTGGTGCTGCAGCATGGAGGACTGGAGGCTGCAGGGCAGCTAGGGTCTCCCCCTTCTTGGCTGGAGGCCCCTCACTCCCGACATCTCCAACAGTCCCTACAAACCCACATAAGCTAGCATCACTCCTGCGACCCCTCCGCCCTGAAAGGACTTTAAAAGGAAATGGGGGCACTCCTCCCAGGCCGGCAGCTGCCCACACCTGCTCTGCACAGGGGCACAGAAAGGGTGGACAACCTGGCCTCCAGCTGTAACTCCCTCTGATGGGGTGCACACCTCCCCCTGGGACTCAGTGCCCTAATGCCCATGTGTACAGAGATAGAGGGTGGTTCCAGGGACAAAAGTGTCTTCTGCAGGCAGGCCTGGCAGGGATGAGTGTCTTATGCCCCTGCCCTGTGCTTCCACTGAAGACAGAGCAGGACAGACAGCCTTCCAGTCACTCCTGGAACAGTCTAAATGCAGGAGGAAGGTCCCCGGATTGCCTCAGGGGAGGGTGTGGCCCTGCCCATCCGGGAGGCAGGGGGAGGGGGCCTGTTGAGGCCATTGCACTGCACACCTGTGGCCCTGTGGGGCTGGGGTCTTTCCTGCAGTCCTGCACCTTGACCCCCCACTCCAGGCTGCAGAAAAGGAGGCCCTGGGCAGCAAGGGAGGCCAGGTACACAGTGGGCATGGGCAGGTGGGGAGGCGCCTCCAAACATGGCCAGCTCCACAGACCCCAGCCTGTGGGCACGGGCCCCACCCACCACATAAGAGTTGCTCCCCTACATTAGCTGTTTATTTGGGGGGAAGGCAAAAAATCAGCTGAGCGTGAAGTGCTGCGCACAGAGGTCGTCCCACCGGCCCAGTAGGCCCTGGGCTGGGATGAACTCCAGTGGCACTGACTCCGGCCCCTTCTTCTTCAGGTCCCGCTCAAAGACCTGCAGGGGACAGGCAGCCAAATGGACAGGAGACACTCTCATACTGTGGGGCCCGTGTCTGCCCGGCCCCTGGTGTCCCCACACCTCACCTCGAACGCAGTGAGTCCCAAGAGCGGTGCAATGCTGACCTCGGATGTGGACAGTGCCTGGCTGATGACGCCAGCGGCCCTGGACACCTCTGGGTGGTAGTGCTGCTGCAGAGTCTGCAGGGAACGCGGGATGTCACCACCCGCTGCACAGGGACGGTGAGGTGGTACGGTAGGTCCTGTGCAGCAGAGTGCCCCACCATCTTGACAGCCAGTGTTGGGGCTAGAGCTTGAGTCCAGGAAGAGGCAGCGTCTCCCCCCCACCCCTTCCAGGCAACCAGGGTGACAGGTGAGAAGGGTAGGGTGGGGGGTGGGGGAAGGGTGGGCTGCAGGTTGGGGCATGAGAGAGAGGTGTCCGGGTGGGACCCGGGGGAGGTGTACCCACCTGCAGCTCCCACAGGGAGCTCTCCAGGGCTCGGCTCATGGCAGGGTCCTCTTCTTCAGGGTCATAGGGGTCGGTACCCAGCTCTGCCAACAAGACCCAGACCCTGGCTGCCACCTGCCCTGCACACCAGCCCCTCAGCCAGGCCTCACTGGGACCCCATGCGGCACTCACCTGGGCCCTGAGGGCGGTGCACGAGGATGTGGCAGGCCGGGTGTCTGCGCAGCAGGTTGCAGATGAAGGGCAAGACCATGAGCAGGGCCTCAGGGGGAGCCGTCAGGGCCAAGCGGGACAGGCGCTTGGCAAAGGCAGCCACCAGGTAGGCAGGCAGGTGACTGGGCAGGGCAGTGGGTGTGAGACCCCATCCCTCTCCACACCAGCCCCCAGCCCCTCTTCCTGGCCCAAGGTTGCAGCATCGTGGGGCAGCTCAGGGTTGGGGGACAGGTGGCCTGCTGCCCCTGCCCTCCCTGGGCACTCACGAGGAGGACAGGAAGAGATCGGCCAGATGGAAGAAGCGGGCCCGATACTTGACATGAAAGATGGATGGGTCCAGGAGGCCATAGAGCTTCCGGTAGAAGTCCGGGTACTCCCTGGCGGGGGGTGGTTAGGGGGAGGAAGGGAGGGTAGGCACGTGAGTGGGAACAGAACCATGGGGGGTGGAGAATAGGCCAGGGCCCCAGGGAGCCAGAGATGCCAAGGGCTCAGATCCCCCTGCCCACACTACTGGGAGACCAGAGAGCCCCAAAACCTGCTGAGCTCTGGGCAGAGCATGGACCGGGGTGTGGGGCAGGGAGGGGACACAGGAGAGAAAGGCATGCCTGGAAGGCACTCACAGGTTGTGCTCGTGAATCAGGATAAAGAGTCCATTCAACGCCAAAAGACTGACAGCGCCCCCTGCAGACAAACATCGGCCGTGAAGCCCAGTACCACCTGCACCCCAACTGGGTATGAGCAGGGCAGAGATACGGGAGCCCCACACGAGCCACCCCATTTCAACCTAGCCGCAAGAGGGAAAGAAGCTCCAGTACATACTCCTAGCCATGGCGCCACCAGCTACACAGCTCCAGGATCCCAAGAGCAGGACTCACCCCCCACCTGCTGGGCGTTCCCCATTTACCCATGTTGTAGGCATGGGTGAGGAAGTCGATCATGAGGCTTGGCTGGGCCAGGTGTGGCAGGATGGAGTCATGCATGATCACTAGTACCTTCTTGCAGAGGCTGAGCGGGAGCTGGGCAGAAGCAGTGGGTCAGGGTGCAGCCTGCCCCCTGCCACCGGAGAACAGCATGGGCTGGGGGCCCAGATGCGGGGTACCCACTACCCCCACCCACCCTACCTTGTATTTGAGGAAGCTGAGCCACATCAGCTGGAAGGCCTTCTTGTGCTCCTGCAGGGTTGGGGGTGATGAGGCTACATGTACCTTCCCCCATCCCAGACCCCAGCCTTCTTCTGCACCTGGAACCCAAGGACTCCCAGTGAGACCAGAAGAAACACCCAGTCTTAATCAATGCCACAGAAGAACAGACAAAAGCCTGCGGGGATGACCTCAGCGACAAGCGGCCTTCTGAGGGATCTGGGTAGGCCACCTCTGACCTCTGGGAGTGGGCACCTGCAGGCCTCCTCTCCCCGGGGCCTCATGAGCGACTCCTGTAGCTGTTTAATCCAGGCAGGAGGTAGCTGGCCTCTCCTCATGTAGCCACATACTGCCTATGTCTGGGGCAGGCAATGCCCCAGGATCGGGCTTTTCCGCAAGAAGCCACCTGCTGCCCTGGAGCATCTCACCTTCAGGTGAGCCACCTTCCACTTGTCTGACAGCTCTGCAAGGAAGGCCAAAGGTCACTCGAAGCATAGAAGGGAGGCAGCAGCCCATCTGGCTGCAAGGCTGTGGGCTCTGGGTGCCCTTGCCCGCCAGGCCACTCGCCCAGGACACTTACCAGCATGCCTCACATAGAAGTTGAGTGCTTCACTCTCCTGGTGGGGCAGACTCACAGCGGACAGCAGCGTGAAGGCATTGTTCCAGAATGTGAGAGGTACCTGCTGGAGGCCTGGCCTGAGCCCCTTGATGCCTGCTGCCCCCCCTTTCCCCCAGAGATGGGGCTCCCCCAGAGATGGGGCCTGGCCAGCTGACCTCAGGGTGTCCATTGGCGACTTGAACCACAATGTCTGTGGCCGCTTGCATCGTGTGGTAGCGGATGTCATCGTGTTCCAGATACTCCCGAAACTGGGAGAGGAGCAGCGAGTGGTCCTCCTCTGGAGAGAGCACGCCTTCCACCACAGACTGGGTGCAGGGCAGGGTGGTGAGGAACTCACCCATGCCCAGGACAGACCAGCCCTGGGTCAGAGCTCACAGCAGTGTCCAGGCAGGCTATGAGAGTTCCCACTGAGCCCCATAACCAAGAGACTGCCCAGAAGAAGCATCAGACCCAAAGGCCCCCTCTGCAAGGCCCCTCCCAGCTCTGGCTAGTGTGGTCCTCTGGGCCCCCACCTTGAAGAGCTGGCGGGGGAACAGATAGTTGCCTTCCCACTTGGGTTTCTCCAGAGGATGTGCTCCTTCCAGCTGCACGAACTTCATGAGTGTCCCGAGAGCCAGCTCCTGGAAAAAGTAGTTGAAAAGGTGGGCATCCCTAATCACACATAATCCCCCACTGCAGACAGGCCCACAGAGCTCCCACAGCATTTAGGCCTGGATGCTGATGAGATAACACTCCTGTGAGAATCAAAACACAGAGCAAAGCCACTTCTTCGAAGACTGGCTGAGAAGAGGAAGGAAGCATCCTGACCTAGACAGTGAGCATGGAAACAGGTGCCCACAGCCACAGCCCTGGCCTCTGCTGTGTGGTGAGCCTGGGAGAGCAGGAAAGGGGCAAAGACAAGGCACAGCCATTGACCCCAGGGCTCACCTGGACCTGAAAGGAGGGGTGAGCAAGGAGCTCCCCCAAGCGGTTGCAACAGCTGTGGTAACGGTGCCTCATCCACACCTTGTACTTCCTTGTGGCCCTCTGGGACCCTGCAGGCAAGGCAGGGTAGTCAGCCCACACAAACACCACACATGCCAGGCTGGGCCCAGCCGTCCCCCATCACCCTCCACTAAGCCAACCAGGGAAGTGAGTGAAAATGTGTCACCATGGCTCCAGACCTGGGGCTGGACCAGCGCATTCCCCCGACCAAAGAGAGCACTGCTTCCCCAGGGGCTGAGTCTCCATCCCCTCACTTTACCCTAAGACCTGGACATATCAAGGAAAAGGACACACAGCCACAGCTCCGTGTGATTTTGATGGTCAACATTAAACAGCCTCAAATCCCACAAGTGGTACAAAGTACAAAAGAAAGCTCATGCTCTGCCCAACCTTCATTTACACTTAGCCGTGGGGGGGTCTGTCCTACCCACCTCACCAAGCACAATCATCCGTTCCCACAGGGGGCTGGGTGTGATGGAGTTTTGGGGAGCTCATCCCATGTTGACAAGGTCTGCCTCCAACTTTGTGAGATGAGGGCCTGGGCCCAAGAGCAGCCTGAGGCCCTGCAGGACACTCACCAGCCATGACCATCTTCTCAGAGGGCAGTTGGCCCACGAACAGCTCTCCCCGCTCCAGCAAGGCCCCAAAAAGGCGGCTGCATGCGCGCACAGCTTCCTGGATCTCCCCTTGGTCCTCAGACTGCGGGGAAAACCAGTCGCAGGGTGCACCGCTGAAAACTTATGACCCCTTTCCTCACCAGGACTCCAGCCCAAACGCCTTCCACCACAGACTGGGTGCAGGGCAGGGTGGTGAGGACCTCACCCATGCCCAGGACAGACCAGCCCTGGGTCAGAGCTCACAGCAGAGTCCAGGCAGGCTATGAGAGTTCCCACTGAGCCCCATAACCAAGAGACTGCCCAGAAGAAGCATCAGACCCAAAGGCCCCCTCTGCAAGGCCTGGCACTCCCTTGACCCGGGAGTGATCCTCCCACTCGGCCTCTGCCACACCTTCCACCGGACCCACCCATCTGGGAAACCTGCAAAATGGGAGGAGCCCCCGGTAGAATGCCGTATGCCGTTCTGCAAATGTCTCCCTGCATCACAGCCCCGGCCCTACACTGCCCGAGCCTAACGAGATACCATTCCGGCCTCCAACCCCGGGACCCCGGCCGCGACCCCCGCCGCACCCCGCGTGTCCCCACCTGCAGCACTGCTAGGATGTCGAACACCGCGTTGGCCTCGCCGCGGTTCGCCAGCACTGCCTCCAGCAGGCGGCCCAGCGCCCGACGCGCGACCCCGGGGTCGAGGTCTCGCTCCATGCTGCTGTCACCACCCCACGAGGAAGAACCCGGACTTCCGCGCCGCCTTCCGGCGCGCTCCTGGCTGCACCTATGGGCGCGCACCATGACGTAACCGCCAGGCGCCTAGTCCCACCTCACGTCACCGCCAGGCGCCTAGTGACGTCACCGCAGCGCGCCTCTTTGTCATCGCAGCGGGCCGGGCGGAGAGGCGAGGGTCCGGGCGGCATGGCGCTCTTCCACGTAGCGCGGTACGCGGGCCCCGAGGCTGGCGGGGCGGAGGCCGACGCGGACGGCAGGGCCCGCGCACTACTGGAGCGGCTGCAGTGCCAGGCCAGAGAACGGCAGAGGCAGAGGCAGCCGCAGCAGCCGGAGCCCGCGGAGGCCACGCAGATCGCGGAGGCGGCGGGGAGGCGGCGGCGGCGGCGGCCGCGCAGGCCGCGAAGGCACGAGAGCGGGGAGGCGCCGGTGCGCAAGCGGCGGAGAGCGGACGGCGAGGACGCGGGTGCAGGTGGGGCCGGGCGGGGCGAGGGAGTGGCTCCGGGGCCCGGGACAGCGTGCGGCTGACGCGCCGCCCGGCCCCGCTTCTGCCCCCAGAGGACAGCGAGGAGGCGCCGGAGAAGAGCAACGTGGGTACCCGGGCCTCGGGGCCGCGCCGCTCCCCCGAAGAGGTCTCCGAGCCCCCAGCCCACGCTCTGCTGCTCGGCGGCTTCAGGAGAAGTAAGGTGCCAAAGGTGAGCGGCCGGGGCCGGGCTGGCCGGCTGCTTGAGGAAGCCTTCCTCCCGCGCTTCAGGGCGGCTTTGGCGTGGGAGGTCGCCTCTGGGCGTTAGGTGAAGACTGAGTTAGCGCCTTCACGGGCTAACAGGCCCCACCTCAGCTGACTGGCCTCTAGTGGTTTCCTTAGTAGTTTGCTGCAAACCTTAGTATTTTCACCTTCAGTTTTAAGTTTTCCCTTGTCAACAAAAGGTAAAGCTGTAAGTTATTTGCGTCTATTTGGGGTCTTAGGGATTACAGTCCGAGAGATAATTGTGCTCTGAATTGCTTCAGGGTTTTTAAAGGTAAATAAAAAGGAGGAAGTTAGTTTACTTAAGTTGTTTTGAAGATTTTGTGATGGGAGGGGGCAGAGAAGTTTGTATGTTATCCAGTTCTTGTTTGTTGCTATGGCCAGAGTCAGGCAAGCCTTTAAATCCATAGCAGATGGTGGCCTTGAGAATGTGGTTGGCATTCCTCTGAGACAGGAGACTGCTGACAGTGCAGACCCGTTTCCTTAATGGCCTCACGGATCCATTGTAACTTTCTTCTTGCCGTGTTGATTTGTTTGTCCCTTTTCACACCTTCTGTAAATCAGCATATTAAGCTGGCTCCTGTGCTGCTATCACAGAGATCTCTTTAAATGGCTTCACTTGCTTAGGGTTGTTAACCTTAAAGCTAAAACTGTCAGTTACTTTACCCCCCAAAATGGGTTTTCCTGGGAATAGCAGAGAATTGCAATTCAGGACCTGCAAACTACTGGCAAACCGTAGGTGAGCCCAACAGAGGAGAGAAACATTGCTTTTATGGTGAAAGGGGAAGTTGGGAGGAGTTGTTTTGAATGAAAGTCCACTGGAGAATAGCGCAAGTTCAGGGTGATGGTGGTTTCTCCTTGGCTGAGTTGCAAGGGTGGTCAAGTTTCTTGTAGGAGAGCAATGTGCATCCTCCCTGTTGCAGCCTGCACTTGATTCTTTCCTGTGGAGGCATCTTCTGTTGGGTCTGTAACTGACCCTTTTTCCTGTGATTGCAGTGGGCACCCCTTCTGGCCTCTCTACTCCACTTAATTTTTATAGGGTGTGCGCATAGGAGCTTCCACTGTGCGCTCACTGATTTAGTGATCAAAATGGGAGATTCCACTAGGTTCCTGAGCTGGTGTTTATCTGAACAGGGCAGATTTTCAGTAAACAGATCTGTGAGCTATAGGGCTCCCAGATGACAGCTGCTGTGCAGGGAGCCATGGGCTTGCAGGGTGCCCAGAGTGCCACTGTGGCAGGGCCCATGTGAGGTCCATGAGGAAGGATTGGAAGACAGGCAACAGCCTGGTAAGGTGGAGGGTGGGGCAGGTGTGTGCCAGGCAGAGGGCAGGGTTAGGGCAAAGGCTCTGAGGCAGCAACGAGCTTGGTATGTAAGAACAGAGAGGTTTGTGTGGCTGGGCACAGCCAGTGATAGAAAATGAGGGCAGGCAGGTGAGTGCCAAGTTCTGAAAGACAGGGCAGATGTGCTCAGAGTGTGTGTGTTGCACCAGGTGTGAGGAAACCCTGGGTGATTTTGCTCAGGAGGGTGGCACCTTACCGTAAGTGTGTATTTTATAACTCTTTTAAAGGGTGCATGGGAAGTGGGTTGTGGGGGCCTGGGGAGAAGCTAGGAACCTGGGTGGGAGGCTTGCCAGGCCTTCTGCCTGTGGCCTCCTCCAGGTGTCTTGAGTCTGTAGTTTCCCAGATACTGGCTTCCCCAGCCAGGTGGGCCTTGGAGTTCACCTGGCCTCTCTCTCACCTCTGATAGGTCCAGCCTTTCCTGCCATCATGGCTGGCTGAACCAAGCTGTGTTGGGAAGAATGTCACTGAAGACCTGGTGCCTGTCGAGGACATCCCTGAGGTCCATCCAGACCTGCAGAGGAAGCTGCGGGCACATGGCATCTCATCCTACTTTCCAGGTGCCACAGCCCTGGGCAGGGGGCAGAGGATTCCTTCTAGAGCTCACTTGAAGGCCCCAGCTCAGCAGTAGCCATGTGAGCAGCCCCACCCATGTCCAGCTTCAAGAGCGGGCTGGGTTGTGGCATCACGCCTGGGCCTGATGCTCCTGGAGGCTCTGGTGCTGTCCTTGAGCGGTGCAGCCCAGCCTGGAGGTCACAGGAAGAGGCTGCATCTGTGATCTCGGGTACCCTGCGTGCACGTGACTTGCCCCTTATCCTGTTCCTCCAGTTCAGGCAGCAGTGATTCCCGCTGTCCTGGAGAGCTTGACCAACGGGTTTTTGGTGGGCAGAGGTGGCTATCAGCCCAGAGACCTCTGTGTCTCTGCCCCGACGGGCAGCGGGAAGACGCTGGCCTTCGTCATCCCTGTGGTACAGGTATGCACAAGGAACCCGCCCTCTGAGTGGGCTCGGCAGGCAGGGAGCTGGCCCTGCTGACAAAGGTGGCTCTCCTCCAGGCCCTGCTGCGTCGAGCTGTGTGCCAGATCCGCGCCCTAGTTGTGTTGCCCACCAAGGAGCTGGCCCAGCAGGTATGTGGACCCAGAGTCCTGTGGCAGTGGTGTGGGGCTCAGGCCAGGCTGGTGATGGCTGCTTCTCCACCAGGTGAGCAAAGTGTTCAACATCTACACAGACGCCACTCCCCTGCGGGTCGCCTTGGTCACCGGACAGAAGCCACTGTCCAAGGAGCAGGAGAGCCTGGTCCAGAAGACGTAGGTCCTCTGCTGGGCTGTAGGCCCTTCAGGGAGGCAGACCCAGCTTGGGGAGCAGGGGCACTGCTATCGACAGCTTCCCTGAGTTGGGAGGTTAGCCTGAGTGCCCTGCGTATTCACTCTCCTCCACAGAGTAGACGGCTTCCGCTGCCTGGCTGACATTGTGGTGGCCACCCCTGGTCGCCTGGTGGACCACACCGACCAGACTCCAGGATTCAGCCTCCAGCATCTCCGTTTCCTGGTATGTCACCTGGAGGGAGTCCTGGGCTCGGAGCTGACGCGACCTCAGCTGCCAGCCCCCGGGCCTCTTGCTTCCCACAGGTCATCGACGAGGCCGACCGGATGATAGACAGCATGCACCAGTCTTGGCTGCCACGGGTGGTGGCAGCAGCCTTCCCAAGTGAGGCTGTCAATGATCCCTTCGCTCTGCTCCAGAGAAGGCAGCCCCAAGCTGTGACTGCTGCCAGGTACCTGCATCAAGCACTGCTCTGCCTCAGTGGGGCCTCCCTGAGCTCAGGCTCCCATCTACAGTACTCATCTTGGAGACCCACTTTGCCCTGCCCCAGTCTGGTCTGGCCAGCATTGAGCCTGGACAGGGCTCAGGCGGGTAGGCAGGCTGGGCCATAGCTGCTTTCCCAGCACCTGCCCCTCTTTCAGCACCAGCTGTCCCCAGATGCCACTGCAGAAGCTGCTCTTCTCAGCCACCCTGACCCAGAACCCAGAAAAGCTGCAGCGGCTGGGCCTCTACCAGCCTAGGCTCTTCTCCACAGAGCTGGCGTGTGGGGGCCCCAGAGACACCAACACAAGTGTGGATGCAGACTTAGGTGGGAAGTATACCTTCCCCACAGGGCTCACGGTGAGTGGGATGCACAGGGATGGGAGAGGACCTCACCCAGGTGCTCAGGACCCAGCCGACCCCGTGCTGTCCCCCATAGCACCACTATGTGCGCTGCAGCCTCCGCTCCAAGCCACTGGCCATCCTGCATTTGATCCTCAAGATGAATTTCTCCAGGGTTCTCTGCTTCACCAACTCCCGTGAGACCTCGCACAGGTGAGGCCCGTGGGCGGGCAGGTTTGGAGGCAGACGCAGGAGGCCAGTTTGGGTCTGGCCAGCCCTGCTCTGGCTCTGTGTTTTCCTGCCCAGGCTCTTCCTGCTAGTCCAGGCTTTTGGGGGTGTGTCTGTGGCTGAATTCTCCTCTCGCTATGGGCCTGGCCAGAGGAAGATGATCCTGAAGCAGTTTGAGCAGGGGAAGATTCAGCTGTGAGTACTTGGATGGGAGATGGTCCTGCTGGGGTTGCCCACCCCAAGGGTCAGCCTGCACCCCTGAAGCCTGCATCCTATACGAAGTCTTATCTCTTAACCCCATGGTGGCACCCCCACAGGACCAGGGGCATGGGTCTCAGCTCCTGGCCTGGGGCAGGGTCCATATCCCCCCATCATGCACCTCCAGCCTCATCAGCACAGACGCTACAGCTCGAGGCATCGACGTGCAGGCTGTGCAGCTTGTGGTCAACTATGACGCCCCCCAGTACCTGCGGACCTATGTGCATCGGTGAGGGCTGGCCCTTGGTCTTGGGTGGGGGTCCTCAGAGAGAAACTGCTGTCCCCAGGCCCCTG